CGAGCAATTCGATGCTGATACAAGAAATTTATAGATTTTTGCACAACGTGTGTATAGCTTGCAGTTCGTGTGTCAATTTTTGATGGTTATTGATCTCGTTACCGTTGTTATCGATCTCAGAGACCATGTCAGAAGGAAACGCTCGCTTTCATTCTCTTCCCTCTTGTCTCGTGACAGTCCCCCGCGTCGCGTCGCGTCGCGTCGCGTCGGTTTGATTCAGCCTTTAGCCGCCAATCGACGAACAAGGTCGTCGCAGCTATGTGCGAAGATTAAGAATGATAGGACGATGACGGGATTAGATATAATAAAGCGACGGTTCCACACCGACTCTGGGCTTGTTTACTTTGTGCGTCGCGACTGCGATAGTGTTGCATATTGTATATTGCAATTATTGCAAATGCCACTCGACCTTGTCACTTAAACCGTCTCATTCTCGCTCGGCGCGGCGTACGTTTAGAAACTCGTAATAATGCTACTGATTGCGACACACAATCGTATGTATGTGTGTCAATTTTGTTTTTTGCATATTATTTACTCGATTTAATACAATCGAGAGGAAGAGATAGGAACAAAAGGAGAGGGAAATAATTTGCAGCGACTTTATTGCTTCGCGAAAACACGTTTCCGTAAATATCTCCGTTTTCCTTTCCACCAATGTAAATTAATTTTAACTTTGCTGATAACTTATTTTTAACTTATGTTTTTATTTTAGTTATTTTTTGTTTTAACTTATCTTTTTTTAGAATTAGAAAAATTTAAGAATACATTTATCGAAATTATTCAACTAAATTTAATTCAAATTTAGTTTATTATTTATTATAAGTGCATACGTTATCATGAAGGTTGTTTATTTTGTAACTAATCCATATTTTGTAAATAATCCAACCACAGAAATGTATTTTGATTTACATTTTGACTCATCTTTCTAAATCTGTCCAATTTGAGCTCCGAAGTTAAAATGTAAAATTATTGTAAAATGTAAAGCTAAAAAATTCAATGTGAATACGATTTCGGGGAGTGTAAAGTGTTGATATGCATTTGAATGACATTTATCAACACTTTACAACTTTATCAACACTTTTCTTGAAATTTTATCGACATTAAATTTTTTTGCATCAATGGCTTTACGTTTTGACTCTGAAGTTTAAATTGGACAAGCTTGCTCTAAATTCTTTAGAATAGAATCTCATTCTAAAGAATGAAAATTTTGTCACTCTTTTAAGGGAATTTTCACAATTTTTAAGAGTAAGATTTCACTCTTTAAAGTGAGATTTCTCTCCAAAGAATTTAGAGAGACAGAAGTTAAAAATAACAAAATAAACTCAAGGTACTGGATTATTATTGTTGCTGCTTTAATATCTAACAATGTGAGAAACCGAGATTAAAGAAATAAAGAGTAAATTAAACCTACAAGATAATAAATTAATTTACATTAGAGATAGGAATGGGTCACAGAACAGCTAGCTCCATTGAGGTTTATCGCTCTCTCGCGACTTTCTCGCGATGCTATATTTATAATCTATTGTAATGTATTTGCATAACGCTGATCATTGTCTCCGCGATGTTTTGCACAATAAATAAAGAAAGGCGCATGTCACTTGTTACGTATATCAGCGTAATACAATGTTGCAAGTCGAAATAAAAACATTGGTGTTATAACGCACGAGATGTGTAAAAAATTATGCCGTCGATCAGCGAGATCCGATAGACTATCCGATATCTATCCGATAATAAACGATTGAATAATATGGCCAATTTCACAATTCGTTATCTCTGTTCCCTTGCTATTAAGATAAAATGAATTTAGAAAGTTTTATTTGGATGTATTTGTATGATTGAAACAAACAAGCGTGATTGCTACTCATTTCTTGGATATGTTTTTACGATATAAATAGTTTCACTCCTTCATTTGAGGATTTAGTTATCAAGATGATTACATATCATTGTGATTTAAGAATTGGTTGCATATTTAGTTGAGAAAGTAGCTTTGCAATGGTTGTAAAATTCTTTAATATGATTGATCTTGTCCTTAGTTCCTCACTGGATCTAAACAAATAATCATATTAAAGAATTTTATAACTGTTGCAAAGTTGTCTTCTCTGCTGAACGCAATCATTGTTTATATCAATTTTTTTAGAAAGTGTTGTTAATAATATACTAGAATAGTATCACTTACAAATCATTTTTTTTACATTAAAATAAATAAAATCTTGAAATATAAATAAATCAGTGACTAATAATATAATAATAAATAAATACATAAATAAATAAAATCTTTGATAATTAGAGCGATTTCAATTAATTTCAACAAATTCCAATTAACTTAATCGGCGATTAACTCACTGGTAAAAAATTACTTATTATAAGACAAAATTTTTGATATATTAATAATTTAATAAGACATAATTTCTGATATATATATACATACATATATA